CCATCATCATCATCATCAACGCCATCGTCTTCATCGTCATCATCACTTTTATCATATTTACTCATTAATTTATTTAAATATTATAATATTAACAGTGATGAGAACAACATCATCACCAATAATAATAGCTACAACAACAACAACAACAACAACAATAACAATAGTAACATCAACAATGACACCACCACCAACAACAACAATACTAAAAACGTACGTCGTGACGTCATAAAGTATGACGAAAACTACAAAAAATTTCCATTCTCCGGTTCCAGATCAAATTTCTACAGCAACAAAAACAACAACATCAACAACGACATTGCCATCACCACCACCAACAATAATAATGTTGATAATAACAATAGTAATAATAATAATTATTATAATAATAATAATGATAATTTTCATAATAATGATCCGTGCTACAAAACCGCTTCAACAGGAAATGGAATAAATAAATTTAAAGACAATCTCCCGAATCCAAGCAACAACAACAATAATGATAATAATAATAATGATAACAACAACAATAACAACATTAAAAACAACAACAACAACATCATCGACTACCGCATACAAGGTGTAATTCAAAAAGCGACATTCTTAATAATTTCAGCTTTCTTCATCTTCTACTGCTACGCTAGGATCTACATTCTGGTGAGGCTGGGCGGGAAACGCTTAGCTACTCTTAGCGGCACCTACTGCTCTAAAAACAACAGCCTAAGGATAAAACGAGAACTAACAATCTTCAAAACAGTCGTGGCCGTTTTTATATTCTTTGTTGCCAACTACCTACCTGTTTCACTAATCCATGGTTTGGATACGAACAAAAATGTACCCTACTCCGTCTACGTAATGTCTGTCATGCTACTATGGACTTCGAGTGCTCTCAATTGGGTCGTCTACGGAATGATGAATGCGCAGTACTCCAAAGCTTACAGGTTCGTTCTGCTACGATCGCGGCTTCTTAACTACGGCAGTGGCTGCAGTGGTAGCGAAAGTTACTACTTCTTCAATTATTCCACTGCTACTAAGAGTCGTATGACGTCGCTTTCTTATCTGTCGGCTCATAGCAATGCGGCCCTTAGAAACTCTAAACACTTTCGATTACGTCACAGGACTGCCTCTGACGTCATTACTACTTCCGGCATGAAGAGGAATGATTTCAAGATGTCGAGGCTGACGCAAAATGAGAGCGCCAGTGAACTTCTGCTGACGAAAATCCGAAAGGATGAAGA